AGGAGGAGGGGGAGGAGGAGGAGGAGGAGGAGGCGGGGGAGGAGGAAGAGGAGGCGGCCAAGGAGAACCGGCCGCACCGCCATGTGACCGAGCGCTCCTGGAGGCTCCGGGCGCGGTGCCAGAGGCCCGGCCCCCCCCTCTGCAGCACCCCAGGCCCGCCCCCGCCCCCGCCCCCTGCCGCCGCCCTCTCCCCCAGCCTCAGCACCCCCACGGCCACCCGCAGCCGCCCGGCCCGAAGCATCCTGGCCGGCCTCAGCCCCGTCCGCAACCTGAGCCCCCAGGAGCCCCCGGAGCCCCAGCCCGCGGCCGGGGACAGCCTGGCCACCAGCACTTCCCTCTTCAGCCCCGCCCCGGAGCCCCCCGAGGAGCCCCGCCTAAGACCCCGCAAGAGACCCCCCAAGCTGGCCCTGGCCACCCCGGCCCTCCCGCTGGACAAGGAGCGGCCCCCCAAGGCCCTCCCCCAGAGCACCGCCAGGAAGGCGTGCATCAGCGGCTTCAGCTCATCCCGCTGGAAGAGGAGCCAGCCCCCCCAGGCGGAACTGGGGCCCACGAGCAAGGCCGGCCGCCTCCTGGGCCAGAAGGGCCCCAGAGCCGCAGAGGGGGCGCGGGGCTGGGCCCAGAGGCGGGCCTCGCTCTCCTTCCACAAGAAGAAGATCGTGGCAGAGTTGCAGCCCCACGGCACGCCCTGCAGCTCCCTGCTCCTAGACTCGTTTGGACCCCCGAGCGGCACCTCCTGGCAGACCTCCTCCATGTACATGCTGACCCCCAGCAAGGCACTGCCCGCGGAGGAGATGGTGCTGTCAGACGCTGAGAAGGTGTACCGGGAATGCCAGCAGGAAGGGCCGCTGGCCTTTGGCCACTACCTATCTCCTGACCGCATCAAAAGCTGCGAAAAGATTGGGGAGGGTGTGTTTGGGGAGGTGTTCCGCACCACTGTGGACAACAGCGCTATGGCCTTGAAGGTCATTGCCATCGAGGGGGAGGAGCTCGTGAATGGAAGCCCGCAGAAAACGTTCGGGGAAATCCTGCCCGAGATCATCATCTCCAAGGAGCTGAGCCTCCTGTCCGAGGAGGCCCCCAACCGCACCGAGGGCTTCATCGGCCTGTATGCCGTGCGCTGCGTGCAGGGTCCCTACCCCGACGTGCTGCTCCAGGCCTGGGACGCCTTCCACAGCCTCCGAGGCTCCGAGAACGAGCGGCCAGACTGCTTTGGCCAGGAGCAGCTCTATGTGGTGCTGGAGTTCGAGTTTGGGGGCGTGGACCTGGAGCACATGAGGAAGCAGCTGTCCTCCGTGGCCACGGCCAAGAGCCTGCTGCACCAGGTCACGGCTGCCCTTGCCGTGGCCGAGGCGGCCCTCCGCTTTGAGCATCGGGACCTGCACTGGGGCAACGTGCTGGTGAAGAAGACTAGCGCCAAGGAGCTGGGCTACACGCTCAATGGTCAGGCGGGCACCATCGCCACCCACGGCATCCACGTCAACATCATCGACTACACGCTGTCCCGGCTGGAGAAGGACGGCCTGGTGGTCTTCTGCGACATCTCCCAGGAGCGTGAGCTCTTCCAGGGCCAAGGGGACTACCAGTTTGAAATCTACAGGCTCATGAAAAAGAGGGCACGCAATCGCTGGGCCCACTACCACCCCTACAGCAATGTGCTGTGGCTCCATTACCTGGCGGACAAGGTCCTTAAGGAGATGGTCTTTAAGAAGAAAGTCACCACAGCACCCATGCGCCACGTGAGGCAGCAGATCCAGGCCTTCTATGAGTCTGTGCTGGGCTTCGACTCGGCCACAGAGCTGCTGCAGACCCACAGCCTGTTCCGGTGACCGTCGGCCTAGCGGGACCCCCGGATGTCTTTCTAAGCTAGAAAAGTGTCTGACTCGGCCTTTGAAAAGCACTTGCTACGTGCGATTTTCAGGTCACCCCAAACTGAAAACGCTAAATTCTTTGATGGGTCCACTCTATAAATGAATATTTCCTGTGTTTTCAGTCTTGGTTTTTGAGGTTCTCACGGGGCCTAAACCCAGAGGAGCAGATTAGAATGAGTAGGTGAGGAAAGAAGGTAGCCTAGGGCTCCAGCCAGGTGGGGAGGGGTGGTGTCATGCCAGTGACTCCAGGCCAGAGCTGGGGAAGGCTGATGCTGAAGGGCTGGGAAAGAGGGAGGGCAGGGCAGGGGGCCAAAGGAAGAATGTGGGGGGGAGAGAGTCCTATAGGGCCAGGAGAAGGGGGAGGGGGACAAGAGACCCCCAGGTCAGTTCCACTGGTAGCCACCCTGGAAGCCCAAAGGGGACAAAAACTCCTCCCCAAAGGTCCCCTTGATTTCTTCAGGGGAAAAAAACGCACAGCGCTTCCCTGGCGGACGATGCTGGGTGTCCCAAGCACCTGTCAGCGTTTTCCTCGGTTTTCCTGAGTGTCTCACTCCTGTTCTAGCTTAAGGAAGACCCCGAGTTAGGAGCGCCCTGTATGGCTTCTCCATACCTGTGTGGCTGTTATGTTCTTCAGTTTTATGATTTCGTGGCTTTGCACATGTGTTGGAACACACACCTCTAATACAAACTCGGCTCCAAAGGGATTTTCCCCGTGAATCTACGAAGGGAACAGCACAGAAAAAGTCAGCGCCTTGTGCATAACCATGAGGCAGGCAAATTCGATCCCTAGATACCTACATTAAACTGGAATTCTTTGTGCTCTGAAAGGCCTTGGCTGGTGGTCATGTACGTCACTAGGGGTCTGCGGATGAGAGGCCACAGATGAGCTGAGCTGGGTCCAGGGACCCTCGAGGGGTCAGGACGTGGGGGACAGGGGGCCCAAAGTGGATATAAATTAGAGTGGCCTTGTCCATTAGCTGTTGGCCACCACAGGAGGCAGGAGGAGAGGCTTCGGACAGTCCTGGGGACCAGCTAGAATGTTGGCCCTTGGGGGAGACTTAATCAGTTGGAGAAGCTTCAGCTTGCCCGCCATTGCCCCGAGCCCCCAGGGAAGCCACAGCCCCACTTACTTATGGAGAGCTACGGCAAAGCGGTACTTGATCTGAAGCTCCTGTGTCTCTGTCACGGGGGGCTGACCATTGGCGCTGAGGAAGGAAAGGATAGGCGATCTACTTCTTGGCCGTGACTTCCTGCTGGGTCCTTCCCGCAGAGTCCAAGAGGAGGCTAAGTGATGGCTGAGTGGACTGCCCCTTAAGTGTTCCAGGTGGTAACAACAGATGCCCCCTCCTCCTCCTGACTATTTTAGGTCCACCCACCTTTGGGAACAGATCCCAAGGGTAGGGCTGGGAAGGGCTGGGGGGGCGTGGAGGAGAAGGGGCACCAGAAGCAGCAGCCTTGTCTTCACAGTCAAACCCTTTAAGGAGGTTCTAAAAAGCCCAGAGAGCCTGTAGGGGCCTAGGGACCTTTCCAAAGACCTGCTGGCTGCAAGCTGCCTCTAGAGGCCAGAGGTTCAGGACACCCAGGGCCTGCCTGTTTCTTCTAGGGAGCTGACCAGGTTCTTAGAGTTAGGGAAGAGAGAACGGGCTTCTGACATCAAAGCAAAGCATCGCTCTCATTTAGCCCCCAGGGCTGTAGGAAAGCCGAATGACATAATTCGTACTTTCTTGTTGTTGGGTCGTTTCAGCGTGAACCTCATTCTTAGTGACCCCGCGGGGAGTTTTCTCAGCAGGGATACTGGAGTCATTTGCCATTTCCTTCTCCAGATCATTCTGCAGATGAGGGAACTGAGGCAAACATGGTGAAGTGACTTGGCCAAGGTCACACAGCTAGTGAGAGTCTGAGGCTGAATTTGAACTCAGGTCCTCCTGACTCCAGGCTCTGCACTCTTAACCACCTCACCCCTAGGTGCCCACTTAATACTTACTTGGTGACATTAATGGTAATTTCTGCTGTTTCACTGGGAAATTTTTTTTCGTCTAGTTGCCAAGTTATTGAAAAGTTAACCTGTTTTAAAGGAGAGATAACACATGAACACCTGTCTAAATCAACAAAAAACATCGGGCCCTGTGAGGGACTTGTATCCTCTTCAGGGTATGCCTGCTCCCGATTGTGGCAAGCATGGGTTAGGATGGTCGAGATTGGGGTTTGGTTTCCGAGTGGTTCTTGGGCAGCCTTGGGATGGTGAAGATAGAAATGATAAACCTGGGAGGTGAGGGAGCTGGCCTGCACTGGTGAACTTACGTGCGACCTCTTGAATACAGAGTGGCCAATCTTACAGATGATGGCTAGGACAGGTGTGGCAGGTGTGGGATCCAGGCACTGTATGGGGGGTGAGAAGGGCTGCGGACACACAAGGTGGCACCATTATCAGAAGGGAAGGAACCCTGGCGCTCTGGGAAACTAGCAGTGTTCACATTTACGTGGCGTTCAACCTCTTCTAAACCCACTTAATGTCTGGCCCACGTGCCTTTGTTTTCCATAAGATCAACTCGGGGCCCAACCTCCCTTGCTCTGGATGAAGCCAAGCTGGCTCTTGGCAATCGCTGCTTCCTTGTCTAGTTGGTCCATAACCATCCCTTTAAGAACCTTCTAGGGGGCAGCCAGGTGGCACAGTGGATAAAGCTCCAGCTTTGGAGTCAGGAGGACCTGAGTTCAAATCCAGCCTCAGGCGCTTGACCCTTAACTAGCTGTGTGACCTTGGGCAAGTCACTTAACCCAGATTGCCTCAAAACCCCCCCCCCCCAAAAAAATAGAACCTTCTAAAATGTTGCCAAGCAATGGAAGTTAAGGTCATTGACGTATAGTTTGCAGGCTTCCTTCTCTTTGGGGGCCTTAATGGGCTCACCTGTTGGATTCTCTTCAGCTGTAGGTTTGGAGGGTGCATCAAAATCATTCTGGTCTTGTAGGAGTCTTCCCCAGTGTTGGCGAGATGAATGTTCAGAGTCACTTCCCTTGTGACCCCCACCACTACTTTCTTCCTGCACAAGATATGTGGAGGGGTGTATAAAGTAGGGCATACTCTTAGCTGCTGCACCATGTTGGCGCCCATTCAGACCCCTGAATCTCTATCAGACAAACCGCTCTTCAGCTGCACCTCCCTCATCATGTACTTGGCAAGCTGATTATTTTTGATTCAGGTATGAGCCTACATTCATCCCTATTGGATTTCATCTTTCTGGACGTGGCCCAAGGTTAGAAATCTGCCACCATCCCTTTGTCCTGAATCCTGTCTGGCTTTGTGTCCATGCCATTACCCCGTCAGTGTCTGGCGTCATTTCCTTTGTTCCACTCACGTGGCTTTGTCCTTGCCCAAACCTTGCTCGTCTCTCACCGGGACTGTTACAGGGATGTTCTTAACGCACACTTTGGACCGAGCCATTCCCTGCTCAGCGATGGTCAGTGGCTTCCTGTTGATTGCCCTTAGGGGCAATGATGAGCCCCTGTGTTTGGCACTTGCATCCTCTCGCCACGTGGCTCTCAATGAACTTTGTAGCCTTCTGCGATTCTGCCCCTTCTGACACTCGTGCAGCCAGACTGGCCTGGCTGCTTCTCACGCAGCGGTTGGTCTCCAGTCCCCATGGCTCGGTACAGGCCGTGCCATGTCCCTGGAATGCACGCCCTCCTCCCCCTGCCTCTTAGAATCCCTCCTTTCCTTACAAGCTCAGCCCAGGCACCATGCCCCTCATGAGGCTTTGCTCATCTTCATCCCCAGCAGCCATTTGTGCCTCGCCTTTGAAATGCACTCATTTCTTTTGTTTATCTACTTAAATGTTGCTTCCCCCAGTAAGGGTAGGGACTGTATCTTGTCCTTCTAACTCCAGTACCTGGCACAGTGCCTCACATGTGCAGGTGCTTAATTTTTATTGATTTACTCCAGTCATTAATAAAAATGTTGGACAGCAGAGGACCCAGCACAGATCCCTCTTTCCCACTGAGATTAAACCAGTGACTACTCTTTTTCATCCAGCTCCTCTAATTATCTTTGTGTCTCAACTTCATCTTCCCATCTTTTCCACAAAAACGACAGATGTTATCAAATTCCTTTCTAAAGCCTTTGTAAACTCAGAAGCCATTTAGAAATGCCATCACAAAGGAAACCGGGTGAGTTTGGCATGAGCTGTGCTTGATGAAGCCAGGCTGGCTCTTGGCGATCCTTCTCTGGTTTTCACTAACCATCCCTTTAAGTATTTATTCTAGAATTTTCCCAGGAATCCTAGTCAAGCTCATTGCTGTAGAGTTGGCCGAATGTGTTCTCTCTCTGCCACTTTGGGCCTATAATACCTCACCCGGCTGACCTCCAGAATCTCTGCGGAGATGGCTGAGAAGGGTATGCGCAGTGACGCCCACCTGTTCTTTGACACACTCAGATTGCCTACAGGAATAACCATAAGGCCTCTAACCCAATCCAAGAAGCATTTACTCAGCATGTAAGGCATTGTGCTGGGCCCCGTGGGCCTGGACCAAATCAGAAGCACCCCCTGCCCTCACCGATCTGGCAGTTTTCTGTGGGGACACAATGGGTGCCCATGGCAGTTTGAGGAGGAGAAGGAACACGGACAGTTACAGGGATCAGGAGCGTTGTTCTCAAGAAGCGGCACAGAGGGTTTTTGGGAGAGGCGAGGAGGGTGCGGGAACAGCCTTTGCAAAGGTGTGGAGGGAGGAGAGGGGAGGCTGCTTTTAGGAAACCGCGGGACTCTGGCTGGACCACCATCTGTGAGAAGCTTGGCAAGACCTGCGGAGTGTGGCCAGGCTGTGAAAGCCTTTAAAAGCCAGACAGCCGACTGGGGAGTGGCGAGGTCAGAGGAAGCTGTGTCTGACAGGGTGTAAGCGGGATAGATATCTGAATGCTGCGCTGGCATCCAGTGGGTGAAGGTTAGAAGGGGCCCATTTTTAGCTCAAAACAGGACAGAATTTCCCAGCACTTAGAGTTGTCTCAAAATGAAGCAGGTGGCCTTATGAGGTAGTGAGTTCTCTGCCTCTGGAGGTGTTCAGGCGGAGACCCACGACCCTGCCTCGGCTTTTGTACAAGAGAGATTCCATTTGAATCCCCTGTTCCGTGCTCGTTCTCTGACCCCAGCCTGGTTGCTGCCGCTGGTGTGGAAAAGACCTGAGTTCCAGCATTATACACAGCCACTCCCTGAAGGAATTTAAACTTACGGGGAAAGGTAAGTCTTCAGCTCTAATTGTGCCACGCAGACCGACTTATTCTTGCAGTTCTTCTCGTAGGGTAGCTGAAGGTAGATTCAGAGACATCCAATTAGACCACCGAGGGCAAGGTGGGGACGATTGTAGCAGCCCTAGATGCCCTGACTGGCTTCCCGTTGGGGGTAGGGGATGGGAGGGGGGAAGTTAAAGGTGGCTGGGAGCCCTCCAGAGGAAGCCGAACAAAGCAGAAATCGTCCGCCCTCGTGGACCCTGACCAGGTGAGCAGAAGGACCATCTGAATTGGGGAAAGTCCTAATAACTCATCTGTAAAATGGGGCTAAGGGAAGGGTTGGTCAAGGTAACCGCTAGGGTCCCTCCTGGCCTGTGGTCTCTGATCCTGTCTAGGAATTACTGGGCGTTTTAAAAGAAATGCTGCTGGCGTCTGAGTCTGACCACGTGTTAGATGTGTGGGCTCCTGCGGGGCCGTGCAAGAAGCAGTGAATGGAGATGGTCAAAGTCTGCTCGTGGGGGCCTCGGGCGTCCAGCTCTGCAGCCGGGCGAGAACCCTCCTGACCCGTCCCCATAGCGCAGGCAGAGGTTAGCTGTTACTATCCATTCTTCTCAGGAGGAGGCAGGAGGAGCATTTTTCAGAAATCCAAGATGCCCAGCGGCTCTCACTTGTGCAAACAGCCCCAGAGTGACAGACACACACACGTGCACACAACTGGCATTTTTGATTTCCTGGAGCGAGGGCTCTTTTAGTCTGCTTTCCTAATTCTGAATAAATATAATGTCCCAGTAGCTTTGCTTTCAGATTCCATCCTCCCATCACTGCTTCCTTTCTCAGGCATCATGAGTGCCTTCCAGCCCTTTGCTTGATGGGCCTCAGAAGTGCCTGGGGGCTGACCACAAGGACCCACTCACCCACAGGAGCTACCCCAGAGGAGCCCTGGGCAGGACCTGGCATGAGAGGCTGGGGCTGGGCTCACCCTGGAGGTGGCTGAAGCCCATCCTGGGCCATTACCTCAAAGTGTGCCATGGGCTTGCTGAGCTGGTCCAGGATGGGTTGGGGGCGCTCCCAGTGGCCCTCAAGGCCACTTAGCTGGTAGCTGACCTTGATTGTGATGTTGGAAAAGCAGTCATTGTCACACACCTGCCACAGAAGACAGAGGGGTGCTTGGTCAGCTGGTGGGAGCCTCTTGGGACTGGTCAGACAGGTGAGTGCTGGGTTCCCTGGCCAGCCGCGGTGGAGCAGCTCCACTCCCAGGCTTCCCCTACTCCAGTTGGGGTGGCCAGAGAAGCCCCTTCCCAAGGCCCTGCAGGCACCTGGGGCAGGTTCCCAGCAGAAGGGATTTGGGGCTGGCCAACCACAGACCTAGGGTTTCTACAAAGCCTTTCTTGGGTGGGTCGTCCCATCGAGAGTGCTTTTTTCTGGGTCCTCTCTGAACGGGATTTCACTGGAGCAGGAAGCTCCTCCTCCCAAGGTAGCTTGGCTCCTTGTTGGCAGGGGGCCTCTGATAGGTGGAGCCCTTCACCCAGGGTCCACAAAGCTGGGTCTTCCTGGCCTTGAGGCTGGCTTTCTCTCTCTAGCCCCCAGTGCTTAGCACTTCCCTTATGGGAGCCCCCAGAATCCTATGACAATTCTACTAGGGCGATTCTGCCTTTACAGATGGAGCTGAGCTTACACAGCTGGTGTCAGTCTTGCTGACTCTAGGCCCAGGGCTCTGTCTACACTGTCCTCATTGGGATAAAGCACTGGGATAAAGGTCTTCCCTCTTTGTGTTGTGAAGTCCAGGGCCAAGGCCCCTCCACCAGGAAGCCTTCTCTGATTCCCCTTGTTGGTAATGACCACCCTTTTGGACCTAGCCTCCTATTAGACCGTAAGCTCCATGAGGGCAGGCACCGTGTCTTACCTAAGCTTTGTATCTCCCCCAGTGCTAAGCTCAGTGCCCTGCACACAGCAGGGATTTCTTGAATGTTTGTGGACCCCAGTGAGTGAGTGATTCGGTGAGGGAGGGAGGTCCCACTTCCTGTGAGCAGATTCCCGCCCACACGAGTAGCCTACAGCATCCTGTTGTCCCCAGGGTGCTGGGGGGCAGGGCTGGCACTTTTCCCCTCCCCCATCCTCTTGTGCTTGAATAACTAAGGAGAAATAGGGGCAATCAAGAGGAGGGGTGGTGGTGGAAAGACCCCCCGGGGAGCTGAGCCAAGGGAGGGCTCAGGTGCCCGGGGTCTTTCTCCTACAGAAGGCCTTTCCTGATTGTCCGCTTCTCGCGGGCAGGCCAGGCAGACACACAGAGGTCACACGACAGGATCTCACCAGTCCTCACTGGGCTCGGCCCCCATGCTGTGCCACGGGCGGTGGCCTGGCCCCTACCTCTCCCTCCGCTGGGATGAGCAGAAAGTCAACACAGCCAGGGCCCAGCCTCTCCCGCTGGCTCCGCGAGCTCCGATCTTCAAACAGAACTCGCTTCTGATGCTTCTTCACGTCCAGCTCGATGGTCATGTTCAGAGACAGCCCCCGGGCCCCTGGAGTAAGGACGAGAGCATTCTGCTGGGGCCTGGCTGGCCCCCAGGGCCCTCCCAGGCAGCCCGGTCCCCAGGAAAGAGGACTTTCAGCCAGGTGAGGCTGCTTAGGGCCCTGGCCGACGCTCCTCTCCAGGGCAATGCTGACCACCCCAGGAGGCCCTGGTAAGGTGGCAGGAGGAGAGACTGAAGGGAAGGAGGAGACCTGCTGCAGCCCTGGACCCCTTCCTCTGTCCATGTAGCATCGCAGGAGGCCAAGCAGGGCCAGCCCCTGCCAAATCACAGAGTCAGGGAAGCTAGGCCATTCACTTAACCTTCGTCTGCCTCAGTGTCCTCGTCTGTGAAATGGGGCTCATAACAGCACAGGGTCATTGTGAGGATCAGATGAGATAATAATTATACAGCGCTTAGCCCAGGGCCTGGCACAGAGTAGGAGCCTAATAAATGCTTGCTTCCTCCCTCCCTCCTTTTTCCCTCCCTCCCTCCCCCTCCCTCCTTTCTCTCTCTCTCCCTCCTTTCTTTCTTCCTTTCTCTCTTCCTTCCTCCCTCCCTTCCCTCCTCCTCCCTCTCTTCCTTCCATAGATCTGTAACCCTCAGTTTCTAACATCTTTGATGCTCAGCTTCACCTTCCTGCTCTGTCTTCTTTCCTCTTTCAGGCCTCTTTCTCCCTCTCTTCCACCTCAGGGAAATTGCTTTTCAGGCAGGGTCTTGTGAGGTCCTTCACACTAAAGTCTAAATGACTCCTACTCCCCATGCATTCATGCCTCTCCAGGCTGTACTATGGATTCCCCCAGGCTTTCCTCTAGCCCTGCAGCCTCCACCTCTGCCAGTGGTCCCCCCCCAGAAGCTCTGTCATAAGGAGGACGCCCAAGCCAACCTGCTTTCACTCTCCTCCATTTCTTGTGTGGCCTGGCCCCACTAGACTGCCCACTCCTTGAGGGCACAGCATGTCTTTCTTTCTATCTGATTGTACTGAAATTCCCCGCACTTAGCACAGTGTCTGGCATGTTACGCTTGGCAGAATGAGGGACAGCTGGGGAGGGGTTGTCCAGGCACAGGAGAGACCAGCAGAGAGGACCCCAGGGACCCAGGAAAAGGAGGCATCAGAGTCAGATGCTTCAGGGGCCCAGCCAGGATGGTCAGGAGGGAGAAGGGCCAGAGAACCGGGAGGACTGACCCCGCAAACAGCAGGCTTTTGCCTTGAAGGAGCAGCCAGACCGGTACCAGCCTCCCTCCTCTGTCAGTGGGCCCAAAGATAGGGGGACAGAGAGGTTCCCAGCCCACCAGGCTGAACAGGCAGCCCCCCTCCTCAGAGTGGGCCCCTGGGCTTGTGCACACACACATATACACAGGCTCACATGTACACATATACTCACACATATGTACATATGCTCAAACACATTCACACCATCACATACATATATGTTCACATACACAAATACATAACACACAACATTAACATACAGACATAAGTATTCACTCACACATACACATAAACTCACACACATACACATAAGTATACGTTCACACACAAAACACTTAACGCACATAACACTCACGTGTGTACATACACATAAGTATACACTCACATACATACACTCACATGTGTACATACACATAAGTATACATTCACACATACATATACATACTCATACACAAAACACACATACATACACATATATACACTCACACACGTACATACATGCTCACACATATACACATAAGTAAATGCTCACATACACATACACACTCACATAAACACACATATGCACACACACGCTCATGTACTCCCATGCACTCACACATACACACACACAAACACACACACCCCCACCTCCCACAGCAGGTACCTTTGCTGGCCCACAGGCTATCTGGGGTCACCCCCAAGCACAGTCGGGTGTCGATGTTTTGACTGTCGCCAGGCCTCACCATGCTGGGGCTGAAGATCATGGCGGCCTGCAGCCTGACCACAGGCCTGGAGCTAGGGAGGGAGTGGAGGGAGGCCAAGGCCTGAGCCAAGGAAGGGAGGGGGCGGTCTGGTGGACACTTCTAGTGTTTTCTTCTCCCTTTGGGAAGTTTTATACGGGGGAAGGGCTGCTTATGTGGCTCAGACTCCCCTTCCCCCCGGTTCCCGTGACCCCAGTGACCCCAGCTCCCCCATGCTCCATCCCCACCCCTACCAAAGGGGCTCGGACACCGCCGTTGGAAGGGATGGCCCTTGGTGATGGGGAAGGGACAAAGGGGCAGACGTCGGGCACTCCTACCACAACACAGCTGCCCGGCCCAGAGAGCCAACGGTGATGTCGTCCAAGCCATCCCCAGAGATGTCGATCCCGCCATCGATGGAGGCCCCAAAATACCGCAGCCCCGGGGCCAGGTCAGCTGCGCGGACCCGCTGCCAAGGCAAGGTCCGTCCAGCCTTCGGTGAGAGCCTTGGCCTCCCCTGCTGCCCCTCCCCACCCAAGGAAGCCCCTGGAAAGAGGCTGAGGCCTGGCCCTGGGCATCCTTCAAGGGGTCCCTCCTCCTCCACCCCAGAGCCGTCCCGGATCCTGCCGCTGGGCAGGTGACCTCCCTGGGCCTTGCTATAAAATGAGGGGGCTGGGCCAGATCCCTGCTGGGCCCCTGGAGGCTGCCACAGGAGAGGGAGCACCAGGCCTGGAATCGGGAGGACCTGAGTTCGAAAACAGCCTCAGACATGTCCTGGCTGGGCGAGCCTGGACAAGCCACTGAACTTCTGCCTGCCTGCCCCAGTTTTCTCATCTGTAAAATGGGGGTAATAATACCACTTCCCTCTCAGGGCTATGGTCGTGAGGACCAAATGAAATTATGTTTGTAAAGCGCTTGGCACAGCGCCGGGCACATAGCAGGTGCTCCCTGACTTCTGGCTCTAGAAACACATTCCTCTGATCCTAGGCACGCCACAAGGGAGACCGCGGCACGCGTGTGTCTGCCTGTGTGTGTGCATGTGCATATGTGCCCAGTGTGTGTCTCTTGTGTTTGCGCACATGCACGTACACGTGCATTGTATACGCACGCGTTTGTTGTGTACACATGTGTTTGTGCGCGTGTGTGTCTGTACTGTGTGGGTTTGTGTTTGCATGTGTATGCATGTTCTCATGTACATGTCCATTGTGTTTGTGCACACGTGTGTATATGTTTGTGTGTATGCACATGTGCACGTGCGCGTGGTTGTATTTGTGTTTGCACTGTGTGTATCTGTATTGTATGGGTGTGCATGTGTGCTCAGTGCATGTCTATTGTGTTTATGCACACTTGTGTATGCATTTGTGCGTTGTGTGTGCACACGTTTGTGTATCTACGTGTGTTTGTGTGTATGCACGTGCATGTGTTGTGTGCATGTGCACTGTTGTGTGTATGTGTGTTTGCACAGTATGTATCTGTGTTGTATGTGTGTGTGAATGTGCATATGTGCTCAGTGCATGCCTATTGTGTTTATGCACACTTGTGTATGTGTTTGCGTGATGCATATGCACACATTTGTGTGTGTCTACGTGTGTTTGTGTGTGCACATGCATGTGTTGTGCGCATGTATGTGTTTGTGTGTGTTTGCATTGCACGTACCTGTGTTTGCATTATGTGTGTGCATGTGTATGTGTGTGCTCATGTACATGTCTATTGTGTTTGTTCATACCAGTGTATGCATTTGTGTGTTGTATGTGCACATATTTGTGTGTGCATATGTGTCTGTGTGTGTGAGGAGGCATGCACCCCAGTTTTCCACCCCCCCTGAGCCCTGGAGGATGGCAGGTGTGCTGTGGGTCTGTCCAGGGAGTGCCCGGGGCACAGGCTGTCCCCATATGGAGAGGAGAGGGAGAGAGGGCACCAGGAAATTAACCCCAGCGTCTGGGGCCCCTTGCGGGCTACCTGCGAGGGGCTGCTGGCGATGCCGTGGGGGTGCCCGTTGTAGATGTAAATGCTGCCAAAGCCGGTGTCGGCATCTGTCGGGTACCCCTCCAGGGGGGCCCCAATGGCCACGTCGCCCAAATTGTCCTGGTTGAGGTCTCCTATGGCAGCGATTGCAAACCCAAATCTCGCAAAGGCAAACTGAGGCCAACCGCTCAGGGTCAATGACAGCGGAAAGGAGTCGGCCTGAAAACAGAGGCAGAGAGGACAGGGTTCTCACGGCACCCCCTGAGGGAATCCCCCTTTTAGGCAGCAAAGACCCGGAGTCAACAAGCTCCGAGCTCCAATCCACCCCCGGCAAGTCACAGCAGCTCTGTCTGCCTCAGTTGGCTCATCTGCAAAACGGGTATCATAACAGCACCAGGGCCTTTGTGAGGGTCAAGCGAGCTGATGTTCGTACTGCTTTGGACCCCTCGGGCCACATCTCAAGGCTGCCTTTCTCTGTGGCGGCTGCTTCATGGACAGACGCAGCTGAAGCTTGGCGGGGTCACGTGGCAGCACATCAGAGACGAAGCTGGTACCACACCTGAGGTCTTCCTGGGCTTCTGCTGCCCCGCACCCATGCCGTCGGTGGAGCGTAGACCTCCTGGAGAGCATGCCCGCTCTGCCTCCAGAGAGGAAATGCCAGCCGGGGCAAGGACTGGGCCAGAGACCCTCTCCCTGCCCCCCATGCAGTCCTGCCTGAGGACTGCAGGCCCTGGGCAGCTAGCAGGGTGCACTGGGCCCAGGGGCCGTCAGGACCAGAAGCTGACACCCCCCCCACCCCGGGGGAGGGGCAGGCCTCCGAGAAGGCCCCGCCCAGGGCTCTTGGCCTGAAGCCACCACGCCACGTGGGATGGGGGTGCAGGGGCCACTGAAGCCAGTCATCTGTGGGCGCTCTGAGGGATGACGACTGGCATTTCTCCTTACTTGTCCTTCCAGGCGGTACACGTACACCCTGCCTTCTTCCCCATGAATGTGATAAAAGGGGGCTCCGACGAGCAGGTGGTCCGTGACCCCATCCAGGTTCACATCCAGGGCGCAAAGCTCGGAACCAAAGTAGGAGCCCATCTAGAACCCAGAGGGAAGTTTGCAGCCTGAGCCCCAGCCGTGGCGGCTGCGCCTGGTGTGGCTCAGGGCAGACCCCTGGTGTCTGAGGGGCCGTGGGCAGCTCTGCATCCAGGAGAAGGAGCGCCTTCCTCCTGGGACCTCTCCCTTTCTTCCTTGAAGGCTGCTGCCTTCTCCTGCTTGGGGCTGGAGAGCTTTTCCCACCTCTCTGATCCCCCAGCTCCAAGAAATCCTTCCTGCCTACCTACACCCAGCTGACCTTGCAGCCTGGCATTGGGTGCCAGGCCTGCCCAGGGTGCCCAGCTCTAACTGCTGACATGGCATTGGGCACCAGGCCCGCCCAGGGTACTTGG